GCTGAAAGTCATGTTTTCTCTCTTCTTTTGGTTATGTCCGTATCACTGTGTTTGATAATTTGCCCCGTTTGTGTGCGTGTGTCTTACCAGCCTTTCCTCAGCTTGGTTTCCAACCTTTATTTTTGGAGGGGAACCCTGGCAGAGAAAGGGTTAAACCTGCCCAGCTGCCGTCCGTAACCTCATTCTCATGTCGTTTCCGTTAGGTGAGATCTGCGGCTTTAAGATCCATGACCAGGACGTGCCGTTTGAGGCCGTGGTAGTAGACAAGTCCACCGGAGAGGGAGTTATCCGCTCTACGCAGAAACTGGACTGCGAACTGCAGAAGGATTACACATTTACCATCCAGGCCTATGACTGCGGGAAAGGACAAGATGGAGCTAGTGCCAAAAAGTCTCACAAGTAAGAGCCATGGTGGTGAAGGTGATGGAGATGTATTTGGGTATAGGGTCACTTACCGAGTCTGTAAGGGCTTATAAAAGAGATGGCTGCTAGTCATCCTGGGATTAACAGGCGATTGCATGTTTTTCGGTAGCATGGTGGCTCCTTATAGCATGAGGTCCTGTGCTCAGTGCTGATGAAGGGCTGACCAAGCATTTGCATACCCTTTTATTCTGGTGGCAATCTTCGTTTTGATCGAGCATTTGTTACCCAAAATGCTGACTGAAATGGGAAGGTGCTTTTCATGTAAATAAATCAAGTGAAATATAAACCTCATCTGTGTTAAGCTGGCCATTGATGGATCGAATCTCAGCCTGTTCAGCAGGGACCAGCCACGATTCGATCTAACTATGGGCTAGCTCAGCAATGGGCAAACTACGGCCTGCGGGCTGTATACGGCCCGGCGGACCTTTTAATCCGGCCCGCGGAGCGTGATACATTGGCTGTCAGGATGTGTGTAGGCGGGGCAGCGTGACGAACGTGAGGGGAACTAGGCTCCTCTCACAGTCCGCCCTGAAGACCGTAACGGCGCGGGAACACGGCGAGAGGAACGCGCGGAGCAAAGGTAAGTGAATTGACACAGGGGGGACTTGGCTTACTACTTGGGGGGGAATAGTACTATGGGGGATGAAATACTATATGGTGAATTAATATGGGGAATGAATTAGACTATGGGGGGACTTGGCTTATAGGGGGGGATAATTACTATAGGGGGATGAATTACTATGGGGGATGAATTACTATATGAATTAATATGGGGATGAATTACTATGGGGGATGAATTACTATATGGGGATGAATTAATTACTATGGGGGATGAATTACTATGGGGGATGAATTACTATATGGGGGATGAATTACTATATGGGGGATGAATTACTATATGGGGGATGAATTACTATATGGGGGATGAATTACTATATGGGGGATGAATTACTATATGGGGGATGAATTACTATGGGGGATGAATTACTATATGGGGGATGAATTACTATATGGGGGATGAATTACTATATGGGGGATGAATTACTATATGGGGGATGAGATACTATGGGGGATGAATTACTATGGGGGATGAATTACTATATGGGGGATGAATTACTATATGGGGGATGAATTACTATGCTTACTATGGGGGAATATTACTATACTTACTATGGATGACACATACACATCATTCATCTACTCTTGGTCCGGCCCCCGGGTCCAATATATGAACCCATTGCGGCCCTCAAGTCAAAAAGTTTGCCCACCCCTGGGCTAGCTGGTTGTACTGAATTCAATCCATCTACAGTACAACCAGCACAGTTCAGTACAACCAGAAAAAGAGAGGAAGGCGCCTCTAAGCGCAGTATTAACAATTTATTAGTAGACAATGGAAAATTTGCACTTACAAGATAAACGGTTAAAAAGACTCATCGTGTGGTAATTAGATCCAGGTGGGACATCCAGCCGTCCAGCAGCAAACTATGCCTATAGGATCAGGAAGTAGAGTCCAGGATGTGCTGTGCATCAAAAATGAAGCTTGGAGAGCAGAGTCAGATGTAGCAGGTGAAGGGGGCGGTAATGCATTTCGGAGCATGCTCAATAGGCTCCTTCTTCAGACCTCTTCAGTACATCTTCAGTACAACCAGCCTGTCAGATTTGTTTCATGTCATCACTGCCAGCAGCTATAGCCGTCAGCAGTGATCATTGTGTTCTGCTGGCAGGGAAGGCTCTCCGCTGGCATAACACAGTAACTCCTGTAGGAGACATTCCCCCATCAGTGCTGACCGTGTTGATGGGAGAATCGAGCAATCTCACAGGTGGAAGAAAATAAACTTGCATAACGTATGGGCTACTTTTGGTCAAGAGCAAAGCACTTAGCCCTTCCCATTTTTTTTTATACTGATGAAATAGATAAACTGATAAGGCTACACATTGAGGTCCCTCCTTCCGAGCCAGTTGTCTGCATGTTGCTCAAGGCGTCAGAGGCAGTAAGGGAAAAATTAAACTTAAAATGGTTGTAAACCTCAGACATGAAATATGAACAAAGCCTCTGTAGTGTGTACTTGTCTCAATCCAGAGCACTAAGTGTTATTTCTGTCTGCTGCCTCATTCCTCTGCTATAAGCATGAGTTACTTCTGACAAGTTTTCCTGACACCAGGAGAAAAATGGTGACGGGAGGGATCTCCAACTGATTGTCAGCCTCAGCTCTGTTCCTGTGTGCTGTTTAAAGGGATGTGAGTCCCTTTCTTTCAGTCCGCTGTGAGAGCTCTTCTCACTAAATGTAACTTCAGCTCCCCGCCCCCTGATTTTCAGAGCTGAGATACTGTATAAATTCTGCACTTTGGCTGTTAGGGACAGATGGCCGCAGATAAACAGGTACAAATTATGTAGGAGGATTTGTTTCATCTCTGTGTATCGCATGAGGTCAGGCACTTCATTGGGTAAATGTAAGGGTTTACAACCACTTTAAGTCCGCTTTTTTATACAGCCTGTGGAAGTGTTCTTTTGACAGCTTCATAGTACCTTTTTATACTGGATCCCAGGAAGGTGTGGGGGCATCGGTATAGCTTTCTACTGGCTGGTACTCACATCCCATTTTCTCTACATTTTTATCAGTCGTAGGTCATATTAACAATAAAAGCTTTCCTGTGCTTTGCCCATCTTATTTGCCATTCTTCTTGATAATGGATGCTTTACTTAATGTTTCTATGCCCATTACATCTGATACCTGTAGCTAGTTTCCAGCACAGAACCAGTCACTCCTCATTAAAGATTTAAAGGCCAGTTTAGTGTTTATAAATAAATAAGTGTTTTATGTGACGCACGCAGTAATTTATGTACATATTTTGCTGTACGTTTGTAATAACATTTGTTCCCCTTTTTGAAGTGTTGCCTTCAATCACCCGTGGAGAAATGACATATACCGAATTGTATTCCACAACATTTGTCAGTGCCATTAGTGACGACTGATTAAAAGGAAACATGAATTATTTAAAAAAAAATAATAATAATTGATTCACTTTGGCCACGAGCTTTATAATTCGACCTGCCTGTCCTGGCATAAAGGTGTGTTTAAGATTCATACTATGCCAAGTACCCCATAGAGTTCACTGTGCCTCATTCATGAGCTTTGTGAAATGTTCTTGTATTGCCGTCAACAGTCCGTCAGATTTGGGGTCTGAGATAAGGTGAGGAAAAGGAACCCCTCTGATTGACTGCATAGACCAGCAATGGGCAAACTACGGCCCGCGGGCCGTATACGGCCCGGCGGACCTTTTAATCCGGCCCGCAGAGCTAGGCTCCTCTCACAGTCCGCCCTGAAGACCGGTGTAGCATGAAAATCTGTCTCCTATGAGGATCTGTCCCCCTCGACGTATCTGCGCATGTGCCGGAGATCGCCGATCGGCTGCTAATGCCTGAAACTGGCACATGCGCAGATACGTCGAGGGGGACAGATCCTCATAGGAGACAGATTTTCATGCTACACCGGAACGGCGCGGGAACACGGCGAGAGGAACGCACGGAGCAAAGGTAAGTGAATTGACACAGGGGGGACTTGGGGACTTAATATGGGGGATGAATTAATATGGGGAATGAATTACTATAGGGGGGAGGAATTACTATATGGGGGATGAATTACTATATGGGGGATGAATTACTTACTATATGGGGGATGAATTACTATATGGGGGATGAATTACTATATGGGGGATGAATTACTATGGGGGATGAATTACTATGGGGGATGAATTACTATATGAGGGATGAATTACTATATGGGGGATGAATTACTATATGGGGGATGAATTACTATATGGGGGATGAATTACTATATGGGGGATGAATTACTATATGGGGGATTAATTACTATGCTTACTATGGGGGAATATTACTATACTTACTATGGATGACACATATACACATCATTCATCTACTCTTGGTCCGGCCCCCGGGTCCAATATATGAACCCATTGCGGCCCTCAAGTCAAAAATTTGCCCACCCCTGGCATAGACCTCTGCAGAGTAGCATGCTATGCAATATGGGGGACGCAGGCTTGCCACAGCACTTGAAATGATCTGCTGTACTAGATTCTTCTATAGCAGGTGTCAGGGTTCTCGGGCACGGGAGCAGTTTCATTGAGAAAGGTGTATGCAGTCCTCTGGAGATTTCAGCTGTCAAATGTATAGTACATTTTGAACTCTCATGACAGAATCACTTAAAGGGTGTCTTGATTTTTCAAATGAATGAGCATTTGCACACTTGGCTTGGTACGTCCGGGCACTGGAGAGGTGGCAGTGTTGTCGTTCAGTCCCAGTGGGACTCCTGTTCTTCCCGGCATTTTCTTTCCACTTATTAGACCCCAGTGAGTGTGTATGCAGGTTGTCTCATTCATCATGCATTATTGCCTTGCTGCAGGGCGACTGTACACATCCAAGTGAATGACGTGAATGAGTATGCTCCAGTCTTCAAGGAAAAATCGTATAAAGCCACGGTCATCGAAGGAAAGAAATATGACAGCATCCTTAAAGTGGAGGCTGTGGACGCCGACTGCTCTCCTCAGTTCAGCCAGATCTGCAGCTACGAGATAGTGACACCTGATGTACCTTTCACCATTGACAAAGATGGTAAGTCCACCATCACTAGTGTTAGTGTTACTAAACCCCGGACCCTGCATTCACTATATCTGTTCTCCCAGGACCCTGCATTCACTATATCTGGTCTCCCAGGACCCTGCATTCACTATATCTGGTCTCCCCGGACCCTGCATTAACTATATCCAGCCTCCCCAGACCCTGAATTCACTATATCCGGTCTTCCCGGACCCTGAATTCACTATATCTGGTCTTCCCGGACCCTGCATTTACTATATCTGGTCTCCCCGGACCCTGAATTCACTATATCTTGTTCCCCCTGACCCTGAATTCACTATATCTGGTCTCCCCGGACCCTGCATTCACTATATCTGCTCTCCTCTCCGGACCCTGCATTCACTATATCTGCTCTCCCCGGACCCTGCATTCACTATATCTGCTCTCCCCGGACCCTGAATTCACTATATCTTGTCCCCCCTGACCCTGAATTCACTATATCTGGTCTCTCTGGACCCTGCATTCAATATATCTGGTCTCCCCGGACCCTGCATTCACTATATCCGGTCTCCTCGGACCCTGCATTCACTATATCCGGTCTCCCCGGACCCTGCATTCACTATATCTGGTTTCCCAGGACCCTGCATTCACTATATCTGGTCTCCCCAGACCCCGCATTCACTATATCTGGTCTCCCCGGACCCTGCATTCACTATATCTGGTCTCCCCGGACCCTGCATTCACTATATCTGGTCTCCCCGGACCTCGCATTCACTATATCCGCTATCCCCGGACCCTGCATTCACTATATCTGGTCTCCCACAGTACACACAACATAGAAATGCAATTATTTTTGTAAATATAAACTGCTAAATACATTTTCTCATCAGCATTATATAGCAGTCTTGTGACTTCTATCAGTGTCCTGCTGAGCACTGGTTAAAGCCTATAGGGAGGAGTTTTTATTCTCCCCTGATTGTCCTATAAGTCTGCATAACCCCTGATCCTCTGCCTGGACAGCGCTGATTGGCCCTGTGCTGATCACATGCACCCTCCCAAAGAAAAAAAAAACTACAGCAATACACATTAAACTGAGGATGTGCAGAGTGACTCCTAGAGCTCTGTACTATAGGCAGATGGTTTGGGGACTGTGGAAGAAGGGGAGGAGCAGAGAAGACAGGATCAAGCAGCCTTTTTTACACAAGGGGGAGGATTACCACAGTGAGTATAACAAGCATGCTTCACTGCATATATAGACTGATTTTCGCTTTAAATGGGACCAATTGCTCCACTTTAAAATTCGGTGTGAACCAGGGCTTAGTGTATGTCCGGCCAAAACTGGATGGTTTTGTCAGCTGGTTTCAGCCAAAGGTTTATGGCTGAGATTTGCTGGTGGCTGTGTCCAATCACAGCACAGTGTCTGTGTTTATAAACACACAGGACTCTGTACACAGAACTGCGATCTGACTGTTTGTTCTCCGTGAAAAGAAGGTAAAAAAAACACAGCCAAATCTCTTAGTATAAGTAGAACACATTACACTTGTTAGGCACACAGTTAGCCCTTTGATTGCCCCTTGATGTTAACCCTTTCTCAGCCAGTGTCATTAATACAGTATTCTACCCGATCACAGTATTAGTGTCACTAATGATGTCGGTGTACCTCCCAGCGAGGGTCTGTTAGTTCTAGATTGCCCGCCACACTATTACAGGCTGATCACCGCCATTACAGTAAAGTGCCATAGCCAAATAAATTCCAGCATATATACCATAATTTGTACACGCTATAACTTCCACACAGTTAACACTTAATAGGGACTTTTTTTTTAGCCACACAATTACCACTTAATAGGGACTTTTCTTTTAGCCAAAGACATTTGCAGAATACATTTTGGCCTAAATGTTTGAATAAATTAGATTTTTTTTTTTAATCGGATGTTATATTACACAAAGTAGAAAATATTATTTTTCACAATTTTCAGTATTTTTTCATTTATATAATAAACAAAAGCTGAATTAAATTTGTCTTTTTTGCCTGGAGACCAGCTATTAAGGTCTCTTTCTAATGTTTAAACTATTTAATTTATGGTTTTGATCAAAAGACTGTTTTATATAGTATAAAAAAAAAAACGTTTTAGTGAGAAGGCTGTGCCAATTTCTTCCTCATGATCACTACCTTCTGTTTAGAAGCCTTGACAAAGCAAACCTGCCTTCTGTTCCTTGTTTACAGCCACGATCCGTTGTGACAGAAGGTGTCACACCGTTGTGTGCTTGTCAGGTTCTCATGGTAAATACAAAGTTTACCAAGAGATGCATGTGATTCTGCAGGAGGTGATATTGGGGATTTTTGAATTTTATTTTATTAAGTTGCTGCAAAAATGTGAATAGCAGATGTTGGGAAAAAATCAAAGAACATTTTTATTTCAACAGTTATTTGTCTTTTACAGCATGCTCAGTAGAAGTGTTCGCAAGAATTCATCTTTAGTTTCCTCATGTTAGAATAGTGTACTCACCATTGTCATTAACCACTTCCCGTCCGCCCTATAGCAGATATACTGCTACAGGGCGGCACAGGTGCGCAAAATCATGCATATATACATGATTTTGTATTCCCTGGTGGGGGGGGGCGCGTGCCCTAACCGCGCCGCCATTCGCGGCCACAGCTGTCAATAACCGGGTCCCGGCCGGTGATTACTCACCGGTGCCCAGTGATTGCCGAGCATCTCAGACGGTGGGGAGAACTGTTAGTAAACAAAACAGTTCTCTCTCCTGTCAGCTCCGGCACACTGCTTTGCATGGCTGTGCACAGCCATGCAAAGCAGTGTGCTTACAGTGAAGCACACAAACATTGCCCCCTATTAAAACAGCACACTGTTAACCCTTTGATCGCCCTATATGTTAACCCCTTTTTACCCAGTGCCATTAGTACAGTGTCAGTGCTTTTTATTAGCATTGATCAAAAGTGCCTTTTTCCTGTGAAGGATCAGAAATGGTTACCAGTTCAGAGACTTATGTAGGCGATGGCCATAGGGAAGCGCAATCTGTGGATATAAACAGAAAGAGCAATGTCTCTGACAGGCTAAAAGGGAGACCTTTGAACCACCAACAGAGCCAAATTTAGAATCTATGGAGGAAGAGGTATTTTGACATGGGAAACCACATGAACCTATCCCCTGAACAAAGCTCTTGATTCAAGATTTGGTGTCACTGGGGATGTCAGTGACACCAAGTCAGTTCCCCCCAGTGTCAGAATGCCCGCCGCAGTCCCGCTGTAAGTCGCTGATCGCCGCCATTACTATAGTAAAAACGTAAAAAAATTCCAGTATACCGCCATTTGTATAACTTTCACGTAAACCAATTAATGTACACACATTGGGATTTTTTTTGTAGCAAAGACTTGTAGCAGAATACATTTTGGCCTAAATTTATGCCGAAATTTGACTTTAATTTTTTTTTTTGCTGGACATGTTTAATAGCAAAAAGTCAAAAATATTGTTTTTTTTCCTCAATTGTCGGTCTTTTTTTGTTTATAGCTCAAAAATAACACACAGGCGATCAAATACCACCGAAAGAAAGCTCTATTTGTGAGAAAAAAAGGACATACATTTAATTTGGGTGCAGCGTTGCATGACCGCACAATTGTCAAAGTAACGCAGCATGGTAAAGCTAAAAATGGCCTGGTCAGGAAGGGGGTAAATCCTCAGGAGGGCGAGGGGTTAAAGTGTAATTCCAGTCACCATTGTCCTTAAAATGTAAGTCCAGAGAGCAGCTACAATGGCTGAAGATCCTGAGTGATGATGTCACCCACATGCTTACTATGAGGCATCCGTTGTCGGCTGCCCCTCTCTACAGTATAGACTTCTTCCCTTTTACAAGGCAGATAGCGTAGGCTTACGATGGGGGTGGGAGAAAATTTTAGCTTAGTTTGGTTTTGATTGGAATTAAACTTTAGAAGAACACTTTCTTAGGATCAGCTGCTCAAACTGTTGACGCTATATAAATCCCATTTAGAAAGAAAAAAAAAAAAAAGGTTTACTGTACTGTTGTTTGCAGTGCCGAGTCCTGTATAGATGTATTGGGACACTGTAGATCATTGTCCTGTACAGAGGTACTTGTAGCCATTTATAACTCTGCCCCAAATTACATCACCGATCTTGTCTCCAAATATCACCCAAACCGTCCTCTCCGCTCCTCGCACGACCTCCTACTCTCTAGCTCCCTTGTCTCCTCCTCCTCCCATGCTGGTCTCCAGGACTTCTCCAGAGCTTCCCCCATCCTCTGGAACTCTCTACCCCAATTTATCAGACTATCGCCTACTCTGCTCACTTTTAGGCGATCTCTGAAAACCTCTCTCTTCAGGGAAGCCTATCCTGCCCTCAGCTAATAATGGAATCTTCTACTCTTCCAACCAGTCCATCCCCCACAGTTACTGCCTTTTGTACCACTAGCCCCTCCCTCTTAGATTGTAAGCTTCCAGGATCAGGGCCCTCCTATGAACTGTATTGTTGCTGTATTGTCTCCCGTTATATTGTAAAGCGCTGAGCATACTGTTGGCGCGATATAAATCCTGTATAATAATAATTATAGCCTGTGACTGGAACCTGGAAGAGTGGTCCAACGGCCACAAGGCACCTCTGCCTTACACAGACTTTGCCTTACACAGACTTTGGCCATGGCAGAGCGGGAGAAGTGGTAGCAATAAGGAGGATTTGTGAATCAATCCAATCTCTTCATCCCTACCTTTGGTACATATGGCTCTTTTTTTGGAGGGGGGCTGTAGTACCTTTTCAGTATTTGGCTACACCTCCCTATTGCTCGCCTAGGCAAGGATGATTTCTGCTTGCGCTGAACATCACTCCCCCTCCTTGCTTATAGCCTCCTGGGCTTCACATTGTTCATCCAGGAGGCTAACAGGACCAGTCTCCCCGCTGGCTCCTCACTCATACACAGGTAGGGGAGCCGGATGTGAGTGATCAGGAAGTCACCGGCAGCTTCCAGATCCAAGGAGCTGGTGTGGGATCTGAAGGACCTGTAAAGACTTGTTGTTGTGTAGGGTGATGGCGTTGGACTTCTTGGCTTGGTAAGAATGTTTTTTTTTTTCTGTAGCTGACAACTACAGTATCTATAGTTGCTGACTTTTAATTTTTGTCAAAACGGTCAAGGTTCCTCTTTAAGCAGTTCAGCCCATTTGCCTTTTGAGTATTGACTCGCTCTTCCTTTAGAAAACGGTGAAAGGTTATTTCTTTTTTTTCCATTTTAAATATATAAAAGCCAATAAAACAGGCAAATTACATTCCACCTATCTATCATAACATTCCCCACAAATTTCCTTAATCTTGGTGACCCCACCCCTTTCCTATCCCCCATCCCCACTACCCTTTGATTATGCACATTTAACTTAATTCTAAAAAGCCTGTTCCTTGATTAATACTGATATTATACTCTACTATATTTATCCCCTTTCACTTCTTTTCCCTATTTCACATATTCTGGGTATGCATCTGACTTTTTAAATTGTACCCACATTTCCCATCTTGTACGTTTGACCTCCATTTTATTTTCCTCCATATGGTAAAGTTCCTCCATTCTATATATCTTCTCCACTCTTTCTACCCAATCCTTTATTTTCGGTGCCTGTTGTTTCCTCCAAAACTTGGGTATCAATCCCTTCGCTGCATTCAGATAATACAATAATCCAGTGTTTTTATATTTTTTAACCGAGAACTAGGTACCGAAAAGAAGGCAAGTCTCAGGGTCCTTAGGAATATTTACCTCTGTTATGAAAGGTTATTTTAAACTAAAATTTTGTAACCACTTTAATGGATGGTAAGATGATGCCATATTGCCTCACTGTTTCAGGTTACATCAAGAATACAGAGAAGCTGAATTATGGTAAAGAGCGCCAGTACAAGCTTACAGTGACCGCCTACGACTGCGGGAAGAAAAGGGCTACAGAGGACATACTGGTCAAAATCAACATTAAACCTACATGCAAAGCAAGCTGGCAAGGTGAGGAATCAGACCTCTTTACTTTTCACATCAAGATGCTTTTCTCTGTTTGGTTCTGCATCATCAGAGCCCAACCCAGTGATTCCGACACGTGGAGCTGGCCACACACTTTACTTTGGGATTGTACAATTCTGGATTCCTCATCCCTGTTTGAATCAAACTGTCCCATAACTGCATATGTCATAGTAATTTAATCAGATGCAGTCTAATTAACCATTGAGATTGAATTGTACGCAATGTCAGTCTGTTTAGGTGGAACAATTTCAGAAATGTAACTGATTTACCTGTAGTGTGTGTGGAGCTTGTCTTTTGCTTTTTAGGTTTCATTCCACTTTAATCAATGTATAAATGAGTCTAGATTATATCTGCTTAGGGGGCTAGGGAAGGAAGGACTGGGGATTATTGTACCAAGAGTGTGGTTGTACATTCAAAGTGATACTAAAGCTAAAAACATTTTTTTTACCTTAATGCATTTCTTGCATTGAGGAATAAAAAATGTTTCTAGTTCTCTGTCCTGCCCCTTCCCTGTGTGAAGGGGAAGAGAGGGAAGAATAGATCCAGCGCTGTGCTTGGCTGCCACTCTTCTCCCCTCTCTTCCTCTTCACACAGGAACTCAAACAGCAGGAGCCAATGGCTATAATGGCTCCTGCTGCTGTCCAACAAATACAGTGAGGATGGAAGAGGGGGGCAGAGCTAAGTCCTAGCCAAGACGGCGGGGGGTGACCTGAGCAGAGGAGGATCAGGGCCACTCTGGACAAAACCACTACACGGAGCAGGTGAGTATTTATTTATTTAATTTATTTCAGTACTTATATAGCGCCGTCAATTTACTCAGCGCTTTACATATATATTGTACATTTACATCAGTCCGTACAAGGGGTGTACAATCAGTCCCTAACCCTCAAGGGGTGTACAATCTAAGGTCCCTAACTCACATTCATACATACACATACTAGGGACAATTTAGACCGGATCCAATTTACCTACCAGCATGTCTTTGGAGTGTGGGAGGAAACCGGAGTACCCAGAGGAAACCCACGCAGGCACAGGGAGAACATGCAAACTCAAGGCAGGTGGTGCCATGGTTGGGATTAAAACCAACAACCCGAGTACTGCCAGGCGGAAGTGGTATTCATTTAGCCACTGTGCTATAACATGTTTGTTATTTTAATTTAAAAAAAATAAACATTAGTAACACATTAATGTATTTTTAAATGACTTTTTGTTTTATTTTATTTTTTCTATATCCACTTGGAGTTACGATCGTTTTTTAGTATTTGGGTATCAGTTTTACATTGATGGCTATGGCATGAAGAGGGATTGTGGGCACACACAGCATCTAGGCTTTTTTAAAAATGATTATTACACTTATGACCTGTGTCGACCCCCTGTAGGTTTTAGGGGTTTTCTTTATTATGTTCTTTTCTGCACATATGACCTGTGTAGTCCTCATTAGATTGTAGTGTATTATTTCCTTCTATTAAAGCTAGCCTCTAGCCTTACCGTCGTGTTTCACAGTACTTGCTCTTCTCCTGTAATGAAAATGCTTTGTCTACATTTACTCCACACAGTGAGCTTTTCAGTGTGCATTTAGAAGCTGCAACAAGTCATCTATGGCCTGGCTCATTCCCTGGCTACGAAATGTCCAGCATGATTTAGCCCTTGGCTCTCCCTAGCCCAACCTTTCTCAACCAGGGTGCCTTGAGGTTTCTTCAGGGGTGCCTTGACGAAATTTCAAAAAATTGCCCAAATATTTTTTTCAAGCCAACTGGTGGAACAAGCCTGCCTTTTTAGTTACACAAAGCCACAGGTTTTCATTATCAACCATTAAAACATTCTAGCCGCCGGCATCCTGACAACCAATGACCTCATTAGTTTGATAAGGAGGATGTCAGCTGCCTGCACAACATTCTAGTTTGACCCTCCCCCGCCCCTCTCCATCAGTGCTGGGGTCACATTAGTTCAGTGATGGAGAAAAACTGAGGGAGAGGAGAAACATTGGAATACTAGTCAGTACCAGTGTGCAAAAGTGTATTTGATTTGGAAGAATAAATCACCTCTAATGTTGGGTGTCCTATGTGTGTGGATTTTGCTGCGTTATATAAAACTATTAGAATAGTTTTTCATAATTTAGAATTTTAAAATTATGGACAGTCTTGAGGCACCACATTTTAGAATAGGGTGCCTCTAGACTGTCTATAATTTTAAAGGGTGACTCGGGACTGACCGTAAATTTTAAAGGGTGCCTTGACTGAAAAAAAAGTTTGAGAAACACTGGGTGAAACAATAAATTATAAGTAGAATAAGTAGAGTGGGGTGCCTCAGGACTGTCCAGAATTTTAAAAGGGTGCTTTGACTAAAAAAAGGTTGAGAAACACTGCCCTAGCCTACCGCCCCTGGCCTGCCCCTTTCATTGGATTTCAGTTATTTTAATCATGGAGGCTCAGTGTCACTTGTTGACATTACTTAAAGCGTTCTGTATACAATGCAGTGTGCCTAGAGCCATTCCTCCATCCTGACACCCATCTATGAAGGTGATGTAATATTTGCATGACTCCTCTCAAGAACCATCCGACTTTTTGAATATGGGCTATGGGCTTTTGGGAGGAGTACTAAGGCAGGCTACTTTGACGTCTTGGGGAAGTTATGTGCAACATCCTTCCAACCCTGCACAATAGCCATGATCTACATGCATTGCATTAGGCTCAGAAACCCATTGATGACTTCATTGGGTCTAAAATAATGTACTGAAAACAGGAAGGTTTTTGTTTACAGTTTAGCATGTTAATGAGTGGGGACGGGGGGGGACGGGGGATCCGGGAAGGCAAAATGTAAGCAGACCAGATATCCGCTTTCTTGTGTCTCTGGGGTGGAATCATTCATTTCTGCAGTTGGCCAGTTTTAAGGTTCTCATGTCATTCTGCCCTCTTCCTTTGTGAAATATATAGGCTACAGTAAGAGAGTGGAGTATGAGCCTGGCACTGGCTCTCTGGCATTATTCCCTGGCATGCATCTGGAGACCTGCGATGAACCAATCACATCAATTCAAGCCACGGTGCAGCTGGAAACCAGCCACATCGGCAAAGGCTGTGACAGAGACACGTACTCTGAGAAGTCTATCCACAGACTATGCGGTAAGAGTCTGAAGCTGCCATCTGGTGTCCTTGTATTAAGTGAACCCCATAGCAGAGGTCAGTCACACTGCAGAGATTGGAACATGATCAGTATGTAATCTAGCAAGAGGCATGATGGAGAGATGTTACACGAGGGGACACAATAACATTGCCTGCAGGCTGATAAAATACACTGAGAATTCTCTTCATTCCCCCCTTCCTGCCATGGAATAATTTTGTTTACAGCTATAATAGCACACACGTTATTTGGTTTATTATTAAAGGACCATTCAGACCAGGCAATCCATCGCTGTGTGTTTAACACACACTCGTTACTGTGCTTTGCATTGATTACACTGTTCAACAAATTTTTATTTTTTTGCCAGTTTTGGAAACAAAAGGATCCATTTCTTAATGAATTTCACATTCTGAGTTCAAATATAACAATGAAATTTGTCAATTGGCTCTAGTTTTTCTGTAAACGGAAAGTTTTCTACTATAGGCGTAATGACTACATAATGCACAATAATTATATAGATAGATGTCTTTCCACAAATATAAAGCAAGTGATATTGACTACATAACAAAGCCTAAATGGCATAATATATTGCATAGGATTACCAAGAAAAATTATAGCCATAAGCTAAGTTGAATCATTTTAATACTTAGGATTCTCACTAGTTTTTAGGTCTTCAGTTTGTGTCGGTTTTGCTTCTCTTGGCTTTTCTCTTGTATTCGAGGAAAGGGCTATCTCTTACAACTGCACGTGACTACACGCTTCAGGTTCTTCCTCACTTGACTCAACCACGAAGGATTCTGGTGCTTTAGGAATTGGTAGCCCTCTCCATGAGGAACTGGACGTATTGCCGATGGAATATTTGGATAGTGCACAGATAACTTTTTCTTCTTATTTAGCCCTTTTACAATTGGAGGCACCATACAAAAGTAACAATTACTAACATGATCTGTTGGCTCTCTCCAAATCATTGGCACAGCGAAAGGCATAGATGCCTTTTTTCCATTCAACCATTGCTCCAGTGCCGTCCCACAAGAATTGCAGCATATATGTGGTGCCCAGCTCTTGTCCTGGTCTCCTATCTTGCAGCCAAAATACAAGTTGTAGGCTTTCTTAATCATTCCTGTTATCCTCCTTTTTTGTGAGATAAAAGTTATTTCACCGCAGATATAGCAGAAATTATCTGCTTTATTCACACAAGTTCGAGGCATTACTGAGTACCTATATAAGCAGAAAACGAAATGTAAAGACGCTGTCGAACTACAATCAGCTACAGATACTGCAGCTTTTATGCAGTGAAGTGATGCAATTAAAGGCTAATATTGCATCATCTCAGTATACATGCAATTTTCTATTGGTCACCAGTATCAATTGCGCAATATGCAGCTGAAGTTTGCATCATAATTTTGAATGGCTTACGTAATTAGATGGGTGAATATATCATGGAAACTAGAGCCAATCAACATTTTTTAGGGTCATTTTCGTTTTCAGCACCCCAAAATTATGTAAGATTAGCTAATTTTATGACCAAAACTTTTTACCTGTTGAACAGTGTTATTAACTTGTGTTGCCTTAAGCCAGCCCAGTACTGGGACAGGTTCATCCAGCACACAGGGCAAGGATGAGGAGCAGCACCCCTCCTCCATGGCTAATGCTTATTTATTTCAGGTACTTATATAGCGCCGTCAATTTTGCGCAGCACTTACATATATATTATACATTCATATCAGTCCCTAACCCTCAAGGGGCGTACAATCTAAGGTCCCTAACTTACATTCATACATACACATACTAGGGACAATTTAGACAGGATCCAATTCACCTACCAGCATGTCTTTGGAGGGTGGGAGGAAACCAGAGTACCCGGAGGAAACCCACGCAGGCACAGGAAGAACATGCAAACTCCAGGCAGGTGGTGCCATGGTTGGGATTCGAACAAATGACCCCAGTACTGCCAGGCGGAAGTGTTAACCATTTAGCCACTGTGTAATGCTTGACGTAGAATGGATGTACCGCCCTGACCTCTTGCTTCGGCTGCCCATGGTTGGCATTCGAGTGTGAGTGTGCACTGCACAAGCATGCCTAGCTGCTTGGTTTCTTGCAGCTGGACGGTAGTTGTGCATGCAGGATGTATTTTTCATGTCAGCTGTATGCAGAGAGGAGTGAGCATGTAGGACTGTGCTGTGACAGCAGTAGCTGTCAGAGTAGACATGACGTCCTGGCCTGCTGGTTGCCAACCACTGATATGGCGCATGCCTGCAGTGAGAGGGCAGCTCTCCCCTGAGCCATATCCTGCTGCCCCTTCTGCCCTCCCCTTGTCCTGGCCCTGAGCCAGCCTATTGAATTTGAATGGGTCCTTAAAGCTTTATTTTTACTACTGCAGTGTATTGCCGCATTTATTGTTAACAGAATGTGCTGTAAATGTGGTGCTTCATTTCTCATAATGTGCGTTAGTGCAGCACAGGGTTTGAATGGTCATCAGAATTCAAGATCCAGTTGATCTTTACACACATCAAAGTTACTCAGAAAATAATAAATGTCTATAGTTATTACCTCAGTTTCTGCCTACAATATCTAGGTAAGGGTGACATCATGTGAGATCCCGAGAAAGTGGAGTATCCTAAATCTTGCCAGAAGATGGCTCCTGCACTGTACTGAAGCGTGAGTTGTGGGAACACCCCCTTTTCTCAGGATCTGGCCTGAAGGCCTGCGATTTCACCCTTACCTAGGTTCCATGGGTGGGATTTAGGGTATAAGTTTTTTATTCTTTTTTTTTTTTTAATAATATGGTGTATTTTTTACATGGAGAGGTTGGTGTCTCCAATGAATTGGCAACTTCGGCTTTTTGATGCCAGTTTTTATTAAATATTGAAATACCAAAATGAAAAAAAATAAATTATGAAATTCAAATGGTCAGTCTACTGATATTTCAGATTTTGGTAGAGAGTTTAAACCACCTGACAGGTGAGATATCAATGCTGATTTTCCAGTGTCCATTGTATGCACACCACAGAAAAGCATAGAGGAAGATTAACCTAAACAATCCTTTCTGATGTGATTCGAGGCTTTTCCTAACACTGCCACTCTGCTTGTATATAGGTGCTACTGCCAACACCGCTGAACTTCTCCCACCTCCCAGTAGCGCCACCAACTGGACCGTGGGGCTGTCGACTGATAATGGCCATGACAGTGACCAAGTGTTTGAATTTAACGGCACCCAGGCAGTGAAGGTCCCCGATGGCGTTGTGACTACTGATCTTAAAGATCCCTTTGTGATCTCTGTTTGGATGAGACATGGACCTGGTGGCCGAGAGAAGGAAACCATCTTGTGCAATTCTGATAAAACAGGTAAGGGGCACCTCTACTCCATTCAGAACATGTCCATTTCTACCCTTGTGGATATACAGGTATGAGATCTCTTATTCCAAAAGATAAATGGATAACTTTCATAAGAAAAGTGTTATGAGATATCAAAAATGTATGCAATTGGTATGGTCATCGTGATTCCTGCTACGTGGTTTAATTTATGGCCCCTGGCAGTTTCTGTATGAGGAAATGCAGGATGAATGTTAAATGTAATGTCAGATTATAAGGAACTCTTGTGTAGGGAGCCTAAAGCCCTTGTACACACAGGCCGAAAATTGTCTGTTACAGTAGAAACCGACCGACTTTTGGTCCGTGTGTTCAGCTGACCGTCTGACAGAAGCCGATCTCATGACTTACTTTTTGAGCGAGCATGCTTGAAAACCAGCCGCCGACCAGCATCCGATCTGCTCTTGTAGCCAGTGGCAGTCCCCTTGTCAGAACACAGTAGCCCGGCGGGGGGGAGATTGCTGTACTAACATCGCAGCGACCTCTCAGGGAGTTTTTTTTTTTTTTTCTCGTTCAGCCTGCTGGGTTGGGCGAAAAACAAAATTAAACGTGTGTACTAGGTTTTGGAGGGCAGCACCACTGAGATCTGATTGAGGGAGGTGCGTGCTTCACCTCTGTGGCCCCTGTTCCATTAAATGGCCAAGCCAGTTTTGGCCTTTCAGGACTTGTGAGCCTCTGGGTTTAATTTACTAAAACTGGAGCATTCGAGATCTGGTGAAGCTCTGCACGGTAGTCAATCGGCTTCTAACATCAGCTTGTTCACTTAAGCTTTGACATGGAAAACCTGGAAGCTGATTGGTTTTTGTAAAATTTGAATCTGTAACCTACTTTATATTGGAAAAAGAAGCAAGCCAGTGGACCCAAAAAGATCATATACTGAGATATTTCACTGGTTGAATGGACATAAAGTGTTTTTGCAGTATACCCCCTGCCTGTGTACCTGACTACATAACATATAGCAAGGGTATTTTAAAAATAACAGCTCTTTTGAGATCCTTTAACCGTTTTGCTGGTTAAAAAAAAAAAGTTCATGGCTCCATGAAAATAACTGATGCCTTAAAGCAAGGGTGGGCAACTGTGGCCCTCCAAGCTGTTGTAGAACTACAAGTCCCATGAGGCATTGCAAAATTGACAGTTACAAGCATGACTCCCAAAGGCAGAGGCATGATGGGACTTGTAGTTCACCAACAGCTGGAGGGCCACAGTTGCCCACCCCCTGCCTTAAAGTGTTATTAAAGGTAATTATTTTTTTTTTTTAAATAATAAATATGTTATATTCACCTGCTCTGTGTAATGGTATTGCACAGAGCGGCCCCACAGATGGTGGCTGCGGGAGCGAGCCTGGGCTGGCAGTGGTGTGAAGAGAGTGGAGGAGGATAGAAATGTGCAACCTCCATTACCTTTTAAAGGGATCGATCCCTGGCTCTGGTTTGGCATTCTATTGAAAGTTCAAAGGTCTCTGATTACTATCACATGGTTGTGGATGGAAAAAGTGAAGAATCCTTCTGTCTACTTGTTATTAAGCGCATTTTCATGTGCTCTGAGGTGAGAGTTCTATGAGCACTGAGGTGGCACTACTTGTATAAAGCACACGGTTTCACTTGATGGTGTTTGGGATATCAGTACAAGAAGAAAAACACATGAATTGCTGAAGAACTTTATCACTGAATGAAAATTGATTGATGTCCCATATATGGACTTATCTATGGACATTTTATTCAGTTATGTCCTCGTTGTCTTTTTATTTATAGTTACCTTATAGCAGTGCAACATCACTTGTTTACTTCTGATTTACTTCTGTATCTGCCACCCCTCTCTGACAATCCCTCCACTGGCTTCCCATTGCCCAACGGATAAAATTAAAAACATTAACAATAACATATAAAGCCATTTATAACTCTGCCCCAAATTACATCACCAATCTTGTCTCCAAATACCACCCAAACCGTACTCTCCGCTCCTCGCACAACCTCCTGCTCTCTAGCTCCCTTGTCTCCTCCTCCCATGCTCGTCTCCAGGACTTCTCCAGAGCTTCCCCCATCCTCTGGAACTCTCTTCCCCAATTTATCAGACTATCGCCTACTCTGCTCACTTTTAGGTGATCTCTGAAAACCTATCTCTTCAGGGAAGCCTATCCTGCCCTCTAATAATGGAATCTTCTATTCCTCCTACCAGTCCATCCCCCACAGTTATTACCTTTTGTACCACTAGCCCCTCCCTCTTAGATTGTAAGCTCCCAGGATCAGGGCCCTCCTATCCCTCTTGTATTGTTGCTGTATTGTCTCCCGTTATATTGTAAAGCGCTGAGCAAACTGTTGGCGCCATAAATCCTGTATAATAATAATAAATAATATAAATCCTGTATAATAATAATAATAATACTTTTATTGTGGGAATACAATTTGATGTTAGCAGCAGCCATCATTGTCACATTCATTACACTTTGTCCTATTATTTGGGCAGCGCAGGGGTTTCAATTTATTTCAATAAATATGTTATACTCACCTGCTCCGTGTAATGGTATTGCACAGAGTGGCCCTGATCGTCTCCTCTTTTTAGGTCCCCTGCTGGTGATCTTGGCTCTTCCTCTTCTTCGTGTGCCCCCATAGCAAGCGGCTTGCAATGGGGGCTTACAGTGCCTGCTCGCTCCCGAGCTGTATGTGTCTATGGAGCTGCGCTCTATAGACACACACAACGGGGCTTGGTCCCATCCCCTGCTTTTGGCTCTTGATCGCTGCTGCCCGAGTCCCTTTGTGAAGAGAGAGCGGGGAGAACAGATGCAGCCGTGCAAGACGTTGGATTTCTTCTCCCCTCTCTCCCCTCACATAGGGAAGGGGGGTGAACATAAACCATAAAATGTTTTTTTTTTTTTTTGTTTTTTTTTTTTTTACTTCAGTAAAAGCATTAAGATAAACAATGTTTTAGCTTTAGAACCACTTTAAACTGTACAGACAGTATTTGTTGGACACACAGCATAAATGTTGCTGGAGAACTGCAGGTCCTAACTCAGCATGTCAGTCAGTTATAATTTCTTCTATGTTAACATGCGATCTTTAAACACGTACTCTTTGTAATTTGTTGGTTTTTATTTTATCACCTGTACCCATTCTAATAACATTACATTGATCAGTCAGTGCAAATAGACTTTGGCTTCAAACTATCAATATGCCATAAAGCCAGTATTGATTTCCATTGTCCATGACATGTAAAGAGCATCAGAGCCCCACATATTGCCATACATTCATTATCACTATGACCTTAAATGTGCCAATAATCCTCAATGACACATGACATCCTCCTCCTATCACTCTGCATAATAAAGATGCTCCTCCGCTCCTCCGCTGTGTTGTGAGCTTGTTGAAGTAGAGCAGTGTGAGGCCACCGTCGGGCACTACAGAGGCATACAACCTTGTCTGTAGATCAGTATATTCCGCTCATTCATTGTATTTTTGCACTTCTGGGATTTGCTACATTCGCTGACTCGGTCGAACTAAATACAGCACTGACATGGTGGAATACTGGTGGAGACTGAAGCCTTTTCCAGACATAATCTGTCTGCCTTGAAGTTCTACCAGTCTCAGCAGCAACAGAACTATGTTAAAGGATTGCCCATGGGGATTTCTTTCTTTCTTTCTTTTCTTTCTTTTTTCTTTCTTTCTTTCTTTCCCTTCCCTTTCTTTTCTTTCTTTCCTTCCCTTCCTTCCTTCCTCCCTCCTTCCTTCCTTCCTTCCTTCCTTCCTTCCTTCCTTCCTTCCCTTTCTTTCTTTCCTTTCTTTCCTTTCTTTCCTTCTTTCCTTTCTTTCCTTTCTCCCTCCCTTTCCCTCCCTTCCTTTCTTTCCTCCCTCTTTTTCCTTTCCTTTTCTTTTTCCTTTCCCTTCCCTTTTCCTTTCCTTCCTTTCCTTTCCTTTCCTTTCCTTTCCTTTCTCCTGCACATGTGTTTAAACCTGTGTGCCATTTCCACAATGACAGAAGCCTGTCTGAAAAACTGCAAATGCGTTTTCTGTCTTTTTGCTAGGGTGGAGCAGCCGTTCGGATGACCCTGAGCAGTACTGGAGGGAGCACTGTCCTTTTCGGAGGGCCTCACATGTCTCCTGTTGCAACTGCTGAGACTCGTCTGAGCCAATAGGAGAGAGAGTGCACTGCGCATGTGTGGCCCTTGGGAAAGGCTTCTGTCAGTGCAAAAATGGCCTGTAGATATGGTAGTGGAAGAGAGGCATAGCTCAGGGTGATGCTATTGTGTATAATGACTGCATAGAATGTTTTTATTGAAAAAGGGGAGCTGACCCTTTATTCACTTTTGGTACGTCTTTGAATGGCACTGGATAACCCTACGTTCACATCTGTGCGGGTGGTGCCACTGCGGATCCGCACAAAAATCTGTGCAGCCGCACCACCCGCACAGAGAAATGCGGACCGGCGGGCGGGTGCCATTAGTTCTAAAGGCACGCCGCCCGCACTGGAAAATGCAACCGTACTGGGAACCGAGGTTCCTGTCCGGGCTGCGTTTTCCAAAGAAGCGCAGGGACTTTTTCCTTGCCTATCACGGGCACGGGAGTCCATTCAAGTGAAAAAAAAAAAAAAAAAAGTGGCTCGCATGGCCGCATGTATGTGAACCAGGAGTAAATAGCCATTAGGGGTGGATCCGCCAGGTGTTTGCTGTATACCGAGCCGTCATTAGATGCTTGGGTACACAGAGACACGTTACCCAGCTGATCCAAGGAGCTGGGTAATGTGATCGCTGTGATTGGTCATCCGAGTGATCACATGATACTATTTACAGTGCGCATCCATCTCCTTCCCCTTACATCGGGGGAAGGAGAGAGATCACTGCTTGAGAGTGGTCACACACACACACACTCGCTCTCTCGCCCCCCTCCTCTCCAAAACATAAAGCTGTGGCCAAAAGTTTTGAGTATGACACAAATATTAATTTTCACAAAGTCTCCTGCTTCAGCATTTTTAGTCAGACGTTACTA